TTCCACACATTTATGGCTCAAACATCAACCTAAGTTTCATATTTCTCGTAAAAGTCCTATCATGTATATTTGCTGGTGTGAGAAGCATAGACGTATGTATTGGAAAACAATGACCATGAATTTGCTGCATATTGGATATTCCGATAACCAATGAATTTTATGGTAGTCTTAAAATACTATAGGCCTACTGAATAATACTAATGAAGAAAAAATCTAGGTAGCATTAACATTTGATCTCAGAAGAATATCACAATGGGGTCTGCATGTGTCTGTATGACATCATATGGTAGTTACTTAGTTATACTTTTGGTGTGTCACTTAGAGTTCTTACGTTTTTTTAGGTGTCAGGATCTGTCCCTGTCAGTCGTGTCATGTCCCCTTTTGGCCAGCAGATGTTGCTGGTCATCCTGTTTCACCCCCTTCTTGTTCCTGATTTCTCCTACCCTGGTGTTTCATTAGTGAATTGTTTTCACCTGTCTCTCATCTGGTGTTTGTTATCTGTTTGTATAGAGAGGGGAGCAGAACATTATATAATGATATCAGGGGAATGAGTAATAAAAATGATGTGTTTGTTATGGGTGACTCTAATTTACCGGTTATACAGTGGGACATGGTTATAGGCTCTACAGTAAATGAACTCAATATGGTGGAAATGGTACTAGACTGCTTTTTCACCCAATTTGTGAAATCTCCCACCAGAGCAGAAGTCATTCTCGACCTTAAGCTTAAAACAGAATCAATAAACTTGAGGTTCTTGATCCAAGTGGCAGTAGTGATTATAGTATAGTTAAATTTGAGGTAAATTTTCATATCCATAAAGCAAAGTCAGGAATAAATATTTATAATGCTAGGAAGGCACACTATAGTGGGATGAGACAGAAATTAGAGACAGTAAACTGGAAGGAAGAAAATACCAGAACTATAGTAGAGGCATGGGATTTTTTTAAAAGCTCATTACTTCAAGCACATTACAAGGTGAGTCCATACTGTTTTCTTGCAAAAACAAACCTGGGAAAATACAGGCAAGGTGGTTTTCAACTGAAATTAAGAAGAAAGTCAAGAGGAAAAGGACTATGCACCATCAATGGAAAGAAACAAAAGATTTTGGGA